AAACATTGCAATTTTCTAAACATCTTGATCTCAATAATGATAAAAAGCAGAAAAATTGAGAAAAATGGCTTGAACATTTCATGGCAAATAGAGAAACAAATGTTTAGTAAACAAATAAAGTGTTTAAATTCTATATAATTTCAAGCATATTTGAAAAATAAGGAAGTAACGGGGAGAAAACCTTGAAAATTACTCAAATTGGCGGTTTCAGCTAACCTTTACTTTACTAGAACCCTATTATCAAGATCAATCAAACTAGAAAACAAAGTTCAAAATCCCTTCTGAATAAATTTTGAAAAACAAAAAAAAAATAGTATTCTTCTTCATTCAAAAACATTAAAAACCTGTCAAAACATTTCCACCTCTGGAATCTGACCTCAATTCAAAAAGAACGGCATGCTGTGAATAGGAATAACCGCCACCAACTGTGATTTCTGACATTCAACGTGGACTGGGTGGAGAATAAAAAACTAAAAATAAAAAAAAGCGCAAAACACAAAAATCGCTATAAGGGACTGACTGGCCAACAGTAAACATCTGCAAACAACGATGGCACATGGATGGCTCAAAAAAGAGAAAGAAAGAAAGAAAGACAAAAAGAAATAGGAAAGAAAACAAAAACATGTTGGCATTGAACTTTTTTTGGTGGACTAAATTTACTGAGGGACTTCTGACCGGGAAATCATTTATTCATCCAGTAGCGGGGAGTGCCAATCTTTGTAGTCGTTTTTATTTTCGTCTTCAAAAAAAGTTTTTTTGCCCCGGTGTGTTGCAAACACATACTTCTACACACACTCTCTTGATTTTTCTCACTCTTCTCTTTCAACGTTTTCATCCTATACTCTCTCTTTTGGCCCGCCACAGAGGCCTCCAACAATTTACGTCACCTGGTGTTTGGTCTCTTAGCCCCAATGCCAAAAACACAACATTAGGTGAAGAGAGTAAGAGAAAGAGAATGGGAAACGAAGAGACGCAGGGTTCTCCCTCGTCTCTTGTGCCACGCTCACTCTTTCGTCATGTCTATTTTGCCGCGTTTCGACCAAATTCTATAACAAACTAACTTTCCTAGAGAGAGAGAGAGGCCATGTTTCGGTTTCTGTCACTCCCCCGCATGGCCCATGACAGGGAAAATAAGGTAGGAAGGGGAAGTTGGATTTTTTCATTTGAAATAAAATGAAATTCGTTCTTGAACAAAGTTTTTGATGTACAGGAAACGTCTAAAAGAACAAGAATCATGCGGGAAATGACCGAAAGAGGGAAAGAAGAAAAAATTGAAAAAAGTCCAAGAAGGGGAATGAACGTTCTGTCTAGAACGGCTAAAATCGACAAGATAGGTGCACCAGATGAGGGTAACCTAGCAACAAGGACGTATGTCTGGGAAAACATGCGTATAAAGGAGTTCAAGGCTAAAGGAAATCGGAGAACATACAAACATCCAGAGACAGCTGTTTTTAATAACACTCCGGTTTTTCCAAATTCAGTGAAATCTAAATGTGCAGATTTTGAAGTATTCTCCAAGAATGCCATTAAAGAGAAAATGTCAGAAAAATAAAAAATTATTTTGTTTGTATGGTCTTCAGCTTTTTCGAGTCACTATTTTTCCAGTATTTTAAAGAAAATGAAGATTCAGACAAATTTCTTTTTTTGATTAATATTAACTCTTACTATGTCAATCAGGCGCAATCCGGAACTATTAGTGCATTTGCTGAAATTTCAAATTTGACCTGATTTGAATTTGAATTTTTTTGAATTTGATGGATACAAAATAGGAATAAAAAACACTCAAATAGAATGATCCCTATCTTTGAGCCAATATATCTTCGTTCCTGTAAAAGATACTGAAAAGTGGTCAATTGACAAAATTTTATTATTATGTTTGATTTATTTTGTCAGTTGACAAGTTTTCGATATCTGTTACAAAAAATGAGATAAATACGCTCAAACTTAGCGGTTCGGCTGTATTCTGATTCTGATGGTAAGCTTCGAAAGAGTCTACCGTTAACAATCTTTCATATATCTCAATTTGTATAACAGATTTAAAATAATAATCAACTGAAAAAATGTTGAATGTTATAATGAACATTTTATCAATTGTCTACTTTTTTTATCTTTTATGAGAACGAAGGTATATGGGCTCGAAGTTAACTGTAATGTTAAGATCTTTCAATGGTTCTAACTTCCTCCAACGACCTGATAATTTCTACAATTTCCCGCTATCTGTGATTATTTTATTTTTAGTGCCTACATGCATCTTACTATTACAAAATATGAAAATTTTCCAATCACATCACAATATCAAATAAATCAACTTCTGCAAAAATCTTGACAATTTTGCCGTCGAATCCTTCCAAGAAATCAAAGATTCTTCGAGAAACTAGGAGTGATAAACGGATGTGTCTTCTCGGTCTTATCTTATCTTTCTCGAAAACATTGAGATAAAAACAACATTTTTAAATCGCCACTACGAAGAACTTCAGCAGAGCGAGAGAAAGAAAAAAACATGTGTTTCAGGCATCAAACACCAAACACTCTAGTCTTTGCACAATTTTTTTCAGCGACCTTCGAACATTGCCTTACACTGAAACATTTTTTTGCTATGCTTAATACTCGAATAATTTTGGTTCTCGGAAAAAGGGAAAAGAAGTGTTTACAACTTTCCGAGCAAGGGAGCAGTGACCAACTGAATGTGACAGGCACAGAAGTGTTACATTCCGGAAACATTCTAATATAAACAAAGTTTTAGCAAGTTTGGGGACTTTGGAAATATGAATTTTCAGGAATTTCAAATTTTGCTGAAAATGTGAATTGGAGAGATTACAACATTTCAGGGCTTTTGAACAGGCTTTTTAAAAAAGCAACAACAAGAGCGATTCAAAACTTGTAAAAACAAAATTTGATAGGTCGAAGTCAGTGAAATGGGATTGAGCTCAAAAACATGAGAACAAAACATGAAAAATTGATTCTACAGACTCAATGATTGAAAGAAGTGCCGATATTCATTCTACTTGATTTCAACTGAAATGAATTATTTAAATTTTAAAATTAACTAAAAATGCCATAATTTGATATAATCCCGATTTTGGACAATATAATGGGTTTAGAGAGATTTAGAGACAAAAAAACTATACAAAGGAGACAACATCACACAGTTCAATAGTTTTGAAACCAAACAAACTAACATACATGCCTTTTTTATTTTAGATAGGCATTACCATGCACTTACTACGACTCTATTCTGATAGCAAAAAAAGTCATAAGACAAAGTTTGTGAGGCAATTTCGAGAATTTGCAAGAGATTTTCAATTAAATCAAAATTTGAGCCTTGAAAACCATATTTAGAAAATCGGATATCCGATTTTGATTTTAATTTTTTCCGATTTTTTCTCTAATTTTATTTTTGATTTTTTTTTTGAACTTCGTTCAATTGTTGTAATTGACAATTAAACTTTTTGAAAACAGAGAAAACTAATGAAAACATTGCCAATGTGCCTTTAAAGTTCCATGATTTTCGAAAAACGTTTTAAGCACAGAATTTCGGAAAATTCCCGACAGGATTTTCCGATTTTTTTCCCTTTTTTTAAGTTTCCTAAATTCCTCCTGATAAGTCGTAAAAATCGGAATATCCGATTGTCCTTTTTTCCTACTCGGAGCAATCATGCTGTGTAATCAGCTTCAGATTAAAACTTTCATTTGAAACAGATACCACAAATTTTTGTCAATACAGAACTTTCTATTTGGCAAAAAAACCTGATCTTGAAAATTTATGTTTTTGAAACGAAATTTTTTTTGATTCATTTCAATTACGTTTATGGGGTCCTTTAACAATCATCATCAATTTTATTGGGCCCTGTCTACTTTTTATAAACGATCGATTAACTTTTATAACCTGTGAATCGGACTAGAGCCCTATACCCGTCCTCACACATATGTGCTAGTCTATTCAATCACATCAAAAAATCTTATCGTTCTATCCAATCTGTTTTTGAGTGAATTCTTAATCTCAGCCATAAATCTCGTCTGTGTGACTCTCTTATTGTTCGAACTAAGTAATAAATATTCGGGTCATATGCTGTGAACTCTTAGGTGAAAGTTTTGGCGTTGTTAGTTGCCTGGGGAAGTTGCTTCTAAAGGTTCCATCCTCCCACGCAACGACACTCCGCTATCCCGCTCGGCGCGCGCGAACAGTTTGAATTTAGTGTTTGAGTTTGTGACTGAGAGCTCAACTCAAGCTCGTGGAGACTCTTTTAAGGATTTAAGTTAGTTTGCTTTAAAAAGAAGCTTTTAAAAAATACATGTATAGATTAGTCAAAAACATTTGTGATTCATTTAGGCTAGAATGGTTTGAATTTATACTTTTGTTTTAAAGTTTTGAAATTCACTGTGATATAATTGTTTTCTCTGATTATGTTTAGTGTTCTTGGTTTGCCGGGAACAAGAACTCACCGCATTTAAAAGTTCCTTTTAATTGAATTACGACATTCCGATATCCCGACTCGGATTTTTGTTTTTCTGTATTTTTTTATTGAAATTCCAAACATGGTCTCAAACTTTTATCTTTAGAGATCTCCAGCTTGGCAGTCTGATATCTCAGTTACTTGAAAAAAGTATACTCATTGTTTCTCTTTCCTGCATCTTCTATTGATGCAGCTCATCCCTCTTTTCTACCCGTACTCATCCATTCCATCATTCCCTACGTCTCTCATTTTCAAATAATGCCTTTTTTCTCTCTGTCCGAGCATCAAGTACATAGCGTTTCTCAACTCGTCTTCTATCTCTTTTGACCCGCATCCCATTGTTTGGTACTGCATATTCACAACCATTCCAATTTTTTTTTCTCTAAATCTCTTGCTTACGACTGTATTGAGGAGTGTAAAATTTATTGATTTTACTACCACTTTCTCAGCGCGGTAGAAGCACAGATGTGTTTTCTTTCTTTCTTTTTTGTTTCAACATCACTATCGTAAACTTTACAAAAAATTGAATGTTTGCAGACGGAGAAAATGGACATTCCGTTGGATTCACCCAAATGGAGGAAGGATCTGCACAAAGTTAGGGAGGAGTTATTTGTTCAGCGGTTTCGTAAACTTGACCCGTGAGTACAGTCTTACAGGGCTTAAAAATTGATATTATAAAACATGATGAAATATTCCCTATTCAAAGTACTGTAGATTTCATTATTTTGACAACAGTCAGAATTTCTAATTCATATCTAATTAACCACAGCTTGATGGATTGTTTAGAATGTGTTTTCATATTTTCACTCAATTTTGATAAAAGTTGTAATAATACAGTACCGGACGAGAAAGTGTTAACATCTGAGATCTGAAAAATAGTGTAGAATATTTTCAATTTGTCTGAAAATTTCAGATTATACTAAACAAAGTAATTGTCCGTTTTATAATTGACAAGATGCGTCTTTTGAAACCGCTTATAGATTTGTTGGTTTAGAAGACTGATAATATGTGAATTCAGAATTTAAAGCATTAATTCTGTCTAGTATGCTCGAAAAGTTTTAGACAAATTGAGAAATTTGGGAATGCTTCTTTAGAACTTGGATTTTTTTGCTCACTGATACAGTCAAGAAATGATATGTACATATTAGTTTAGTGCTGAATTTCTGTAGGTCAAACAAATATTAAGCTTGAGAACAACTATGAGCAATCGCGCATAATTTTATTTGTAGTTATATCAGCTTCAAAAATCAAACCCACATTTTGAAAAATTTCGAAAACATTTTGTTTACAGACATGACACTTGGACACTTGAAGAGGTGGCCAACTTTGCCAACATTATCCTTGAAATCTTCAAGCATTCCGAAGATCTTGAGGACAAAGACATCACAGCGGCAATTTATATTGTGGATAACCCCTTTATCCATTTCAGAAACCCCGAGAAGCCCTATGAACTTCTGGTTGGTAAATTTGAAAAAATTGAATTGTAATATGTTTTCATTTCAGTTTAACTGGACTTCTCGAGAATGGTGGAGAAATTTGGAAAATGCTCCAGAATCGAGTAACAAGCTGCTCGAAAAATCTATGGATCTCATTACTCTAAATGTGCTTCTCGCCATCACAAGAGATATATTTTCGGCGATTCCGAGACTAGAATTGGATGAAATTGTCAAGTTTGCCAACGAATTCATAAGGCTCACATTTCAAAAAGTCTCGGCGGTTATTCCAAAAGAAGAAATAAAGGAGGTGAGTGTTAGAAATTTCTCAGTGAATGTTCAACTAAAAAAAAACTTTTAGATGATGAAAAAATTGAAAGACCGTACAGAATGGTATATTCCATGTTCGGAGATGTACATGGATCTCTGGAGAATGTGTTGGCACAAAATGCATGATAACTATCGGACACCAGATGTTCTTATCAGTGGTGTTGTAAGTAAAAAATCTTTTCAAATTTGACACTAAAAATTTCCTCAATAATTCCTCTTTTTTTCAGTCTGTTCCGATACCAGACTCAATGGGTGTTGATGCATACTTTTTGGAGTTCCTCAACCAAACCTTTTTTGTAAAATATCACTATATCGAACTGACAATTGAAGAAAAAGTTTCACTCTTGAAATTTTTAACAAGTTTGAATTTCCATGAAATCAACTATTATTTTGGTATGAGAATGTCACAAAGTGTTCTGCAACACAAAAGTTATTACAGTAGCAAGAGGAGGAAAACAAGTTATGGAAAACTTGTATAAGCATCTATTGCAAGTGGATTCACAATCCAACAACGATGATTTTCTCCGAGAGCTGCGCAATTTCGTCGTCAAAGCAAGCGCTTATGTAATTGAAATCCAGGGTAATATCTTAAAAGTTTGTTTATACTCATAGTTGAATTATTATAGGTGAAAATCTTCGGAATTCCTGGAAAACGTTGCTGACTCATTATATGATGGAATTGAACAATCGCCAAACTACAGGGTTAGTTCGCGAGAGAAATTCAAATATCAAACTTCATTTTTTAGAAGATTCTGCTCCAGATGCATTTGGCAAGCAGGGGAGCAATATCTCTCGGGGACAGGAAGCGATCACTCAAGGGTGAAAAAGGGATTTGCTTTGCTGAGTTTGACGAAAACAATATTACAGGCAATGTCAGACAAATCGGATCAAAACGTGGATTCGACATCTTGACAACGATTGCCGAGATTCAAGATCAAGATCCACATACCGGACACAACGAGATCGATCTGGAATCGGTAAACTAATTCTATATTTTTATGAAAATAATTGAGGAAAATTTTTGATTTCAGCTGATGAGTTACGACAAAAGTCCCGCCGTGTTTGACCCGAGGCAGCAAGGGTCCATTGTAAGCTTCTATAAAAAAAAACAATGAGTTACAGTACAAATCAATAAGATATACGAAAAATACTATATTTTCAGTTGTTTTGACCATACTCAAAAGTCTGGAGCTCGGCAGTCAAGTGTCGGATCATTTTGAAAACTTTGAAGCGTGTCGAACAGACGTAGATTGAAATCTTTGCATTCATAAAATTTGCTGGAAGTTCCTAGTTTTTCAGTTATTCACAGATTTTTGATATGCACCTGCTCCTCACGTTTTCAGTGCAAAAACAGGTAAAAAAGATGTTTCTGAAAAACTAGGAATTTTCAGAAAATCCAATGAAAGCAAATTTTTCAAGCTAGGTCTGCTCTACAGTCTTCCAAAATTTCCAAAGTGATCAGACAATCGACAGTGAAGCACTAGACTCCTGAAAATGGTCAAAATCAACAGAAAACCCTGTTTTTACTTATTTTATTGAGCTTTCCATTTTATGTTATTGGATGGTATTTCAATTTCAGCGAAAATGGCTGGCCATGGCAGAAGATTACGGGTTGAACACAGGGAACCCGGAAGTGGAACAACATTTGTACTTGGATTATCAAGATCTCGCATTCGCCGGAACTAAGTGGACACACGACACATTTCCATTATTTTTTCACTTACTAGCTGCTACAGCCCGATGTAAGTTTTTGGGAGTATTGAAGGTTTTTTTGGAGCCAGGGTATGCATTCTACCGTAACGGTGTACAACGCTTAATGTCACTCTGCGTACAGCTGTCGTCCTCATTCTTATGTTTACCACCTAGTCGATTTTCGAATGCCGCTGCATTCCCGGATTTTTTTTCAACTTTCCGATTTATGCCGATTTCTTTATGCCGATGACACCTGTTTTTTACACGCTTACAGTACGAAAACGGGGCAAGAAGTAGTGTATTTCAGAAATCGGTTATAGCCGAAAAACTAGAAATTTAAAAAAAAATTCTGTGAAGGCAAAGTTGTTCGTCTAGATCTGTTTTACACACTTCAAAGTTTTGAAAGTGATCGGACATTCAACAGTCGAAGTCTAGGCTTTCGAAAATGGTCAAAATCAACAGATGTTTCTTATTGACCGGCACTGTGAGTCAGAAAAAGCTATATCAGGTCAAAATGCATTATTTCGCCCCGGAAAGTTCAAATAATTTTCCTGCACCCCCAAAAAACCAAAAAAATGTCATTTCAGCTTTAATTGGAAAGCATTATGGAAGATTATGCCTCAAAGATCCTCAGCAGAGTCTTTTCGATCCGGAACATGGGCTCCTGATCTTCGATTACATTTTCGAATACTCGTTACAGTAATTTGCACTTTCAATTTTTAAAAAAAGTTTCGTTTTCAATCATTCTCAATTCAGATTCATTTTGGCAATCCTCCACGACAAGTCCACGGTTTTGCAAACCCTACTTGGATCTGAAAATGCGGAAAAGTTATGTGCAATCCACGATGATTGGAAGGAGTGGACATTCAGTCCGATAACGAAATTGACAAAATTGGAAATCAAGATCATTGAGGAATCTAAAGGAACGATCGTGGAAGATTATATTGTGAGCTTGGAATGTTTTTTTTTTAAATTCTAATCCAGAAAATTTTCAGTCCGGCAAAAATACGAAACTGGAAGATTTTGTGGACCCGTTAGTAGACATGTTTACTACAGCAATAGAGATGTACGATTTCCCTAAAAGCTACATCGAATTTAGATACCGTAGTTTTCAGAAAGATTGTTACACAATAGCTATCAGGGTAAGTATTCTATTTCAGAACGATTTTAATAGATTACAACGTTTTCAGCCACTTCTTCTGATCATGCCGCTCAAGGGCTTGAAGATTATTGTTGCAAATTCACGGGGCGCTCTCAGGATGACTCTCGGTGATTCTGGGGAAGCTGCGAAACGTGAGTTATTCTCTATCTTTCTGAAATTATCCAATTAATACTTTTAGAGGATTATCAGAAAGATTGGCAGCGAGTTCAAGATTCATTTTCTGGAGACTTTTCCAGAGAATATTTCTCGAAATTTCCGCAAACTATTGTGGAGTTCTATTCGATTATTCCGAAGACTTGGTTGACAAGAACTTGGATTGAAGATGAGAAAAATGTTGCGGCGGTCGTCAACTTTCATAAGCTATATGACTACCCAGAGGTATCAGAATATATACCATTTTCAATTGAATTTTCTAAATTCACAGGTTCTGGATTATCTGGTTATTCGCCACTATTTCAAACAATTCGATGCGGGAAATTGGACGATTGACGATTGGGCGCGTGCAAAAAGAACGGAAATTAAAAGTGTTCTTATTGGAAAACCTGTTGATTTTCATCTTTAGATTTTATTAGTCAGGTTTCTGTTTTTAGGGGCAGAATATCATTTTGTTGATTTTTTTTTATTTTAGAGATCTTCATAACCTTTTCTAGAGCCAAAAAAACCATTGGGTAGATTTTACATGTGTTCTAAATATTAAAGCATTCGAAAACTTGGGTAATAGTACTTAAAAATTTTTTCTGTACTTTTTTATGTTCATTCATTTAATAAATAAAAGAATCTGTGTCTAATCAACTACCAATTCCAACTCCACAAAGTTACAAACACTCTCATGGTATTCCCACTTTTGAAAATCACCAAAAAAAGGTACTTGTGTATTTTAAAGTGCTTCAACTACATCCGTGCTTTCTTTCGCTCTTTTTCTAGTTTTTTTCTCTCCGGAAATCCCAAAAAAACGCTTAACTGGTCCCACGCAACTTTTTTAATCCCATTCAACTGACAAGAAGTTTTAACTTGGTAGTTGTAAAATTTTATAGTAGTTAAAATATCCTAAAAAACGACTTCAGTCGAATTCCTTTCTTCCTAATTCAAAAAATGATTATCGGGCTTCATTTTTTCGTCTGCAAGTGACAATTTTAAGCAAAAAAACGACTCACAGTTCATATTTTGAAACCAGACTTCGGAAAAACAAAAGTCTGAATATGGAAACAAAAATGCATCAATCGTTCTCGTTTTTTTTCGTCCAGAATAGAATCATCCGCACTTTCTTACCCATTTTCTTATGATCTATGGGCATTTCATAATATTAATGATTTGTTTGTTTTTCTTTTCATCATCATCTTCTTCTTCTTCTCCTCTGTTTCAAATTCAAAATTTGCATTATTTTCGGTTAGTATAGCGCACTTATCAAATTTCGCCTCTTATCACTTGAGGGAGGAAGAGAGAAAAACGAAAGTGTGAACGGATTATTTTGTGATTCCACGCAGTGTGTTGAATAAATTATACAAAACACACTCCTCGGAAAAAATGATCGGCGTTTTTCATTTTTGTGAACAGTGTTTCTTATTTTTCGTAAAGTGAAACATAACGTCATTGCTCTTCAAACGTTTTGTAGTGGCAGTTTTTTGCTCCGACCACTCAGATTATTCTGATATGATACGACTATAAAATCTGTCTATCTGTTCTTGTTATTTCGATTTGAACATGGGTGTTTTGTGAGAGATTATAGAACGGTGTTCCAGAAGATATTTTGTCTGCATGTGTCATTTTTCTCGGTATTTCTTACCCCCCGATTATGAAAATGGAGGAGATTTAAGCCGATTTTGCAATTACAGACTCCGTATTGTTTTGACTTTAAATTTTGTTATTTATCTTTTTTACTTTGAGCTCAAGTTTTGAAGAATGCTAGCAAATGAATTTTCGTTCCTAATTTTGACATTTCAGTGGAAATTAGTAAACTGTGGAGTTCTGAAAAAGAACTCTAGACATTTAAAATTATAATTTCTAGTTATTTTTTTTTCTGAAAATTGAGATTTTAGCGATCATGAAAGTTTTGTAACTTCATAATCGACACTATAGTTTCAGTGAATTTTGATTCTGATGAGTTTGAATTTTGCGTTCAAACTTAAAAAAAACAAAAATGTCAGATCAGATACAGTACCGCTCGATGAAGACAAACAAAAACGTGTTTTCGGTTGATTCTTGGTAATTTCTAACCATTTTCAAGGGTCTGGAGCTTGGCTGTCAAGATTCACCTTAAAAATTTCGGAGATGGTAAAACAGACATAGATTGAAAACTTTGCATTCACAGAATTTTTTCATAAATTCTAGTTTTTCAGTTTTGCTGATTTCTGAAAAACCCTAGTTTTTCCACGTTTTCAGAACAAAAAGGTCTTCAAGAAACCGGAAAATAGCTGAATAACTAGGAATTTTCAAAAAATTCTGTGAATGCGAAGTTTTCAATCTAGGTCTGTTTTACACTCTCCAAAATTTTCAAAGTGATCGGAAACTTGACAATCGATCTTCAGACTTTGGAAAATGGTCAAAATGACCAAAATGACAAAAAACTCAACTGTAAAATAAGTTTTTCTTTATATCTCATTGAACGGTACAGTAGTTGTTAACCGCTTTTTTAGATTTATGCAATAAACTGTTTGTTACAAAAATAAAGCCCTAAATATGAAGTTTGTTTTGTAGTTTTCAGACAATCCTGGAACTCTTTTTCAGGATTTTGAAACTGAATAATTTCAGTCAAAAATGTATTTTGTCTGATTGCTGTAGTTCATAAACTCGGAAAATTTCGGAAAGTTTTGAATTCATTCGGTCCTTCCTAGCAAAATTCAGAATCTGAATCATTAACATGTTTTTTTCTTATGCAATCGTTCGTCTCAAACATTGTTCCGCATTCTTTTTCTTTTTGAAGACGAACACTGCAATTAATGACGAGTTGTTTTCCAGTAAGCTATTTTGTTCTCTTTTTTTTTTCAAATATTCACATTTTTTCTCACTACTCACCTTTTTTGTGTGACTAATGATGTTATTTCGAAGCTGAAGAAGAAAACCGTAGACGCTTTTACAGCTCTAGCAAGACCAAACACGTTTTTCAATATAAATCTTCTCGCTTCTCGAATTTTCTAATCAGAAGCACTCTCGACGGCGGTTTTCATCATCATGATCCTGCCCTCTATGTTGCTCTTTTTCTTTGTTGTTTCTTTCAGATCCTTCTAGAATTCAATCTGAGTGCTGGGAGGCTCTGGTAGGTTTCTGTTAGCTGTTTCATTCTTCATTCATTTACACAAACCCTTGTGGGTTTCTCTTGTCCACTATCCTCTTTTTCTCTATTTACTTACTTCGTTGATGGTCCATATCCGGTGAGTAGTCAATTTAGGTCTTAGTTTCTTTTTTTGTTGAACGATTATTTTTTAAACTAGTACTGTTTGTGTTTGTTTCTTTTCGGGAAAACATGATGGTCGAAAATTGGCTATATTTGACATATTGTATTTTTCCTCCTTTTTTTAGTCCCATTCTGTCTCTTTTTCGTCTCGAGGGTTCACTAAAACATATTTTCTGGACCCTAGACTACTCTTCATAGCTTTCCAACTCTTGCAAAATGTTCAGAAAAAAAAGCTAAATTGCTTGTATAGTTCCATAATTTTAATTGCAGTAATTAAAGTGGTATAAGTAAAGCTGGAAAAAGTTATATAGTCCCATTATTTTCTCGTTGATCCTATTATTTTCTTATTTCTGAATTCTGAGTTTGTAACCTCGTTCTAATAAAGATGACCAAGAAAAAGGTTACAATTGTGCTCTCAACCGACGCATTGTTGACCTCTGCTCCTGGTCAAACTACTCGAATTGAAAACCTGGGCCGCCGTAAGTAAATGGTTTCTTTTTTTCCGTGTTATTCTTTTTTTTGTGACCCTCCCCCTTTTTACACCATCACATGATTTATAGATCCTCTAAACACCCACATCCTGCCCTCTATCTGTTTTTTTTTACTGAAAATTGAAAAGTGCCTCCACGAAAGAAAGAGATAGAGTAGAACGTGTTGATGAGTTCAATGTCAGTTCCCGTCTGTCGAAACTCATTTCCTTAAACGAAAAAAGTCAATTTCTGCGTAGATCGGTTAACTTTTCTCTAGTTTTTGCAAGGAATATATCTTTTTTTCAGACTCCCAGACTTGTGAAATTGAAATAAAACTCGATTACAAAAAATTTCCGTTCCCGCGCTCATCTTCCTCCGAGCTTCATTGTTTTTTCTTTGTTTTGATTGAGTTAGTGAAAAACACAACTATTGGATGCACGAAATTCTCCGTTCTTGGTTTCTGGAACTTTTTTTGTTTTTGCGTTCTAGGTCTAAACGTTGGTCGTAAAAAAAAATTTCCAGAATAGGAACTTTCAACATAATTTCACATTGAGAAATGCGTTTTATGATATATTCTTTCCGCTATTTTTTCCTTCTATAGAAAACGAAAAACAACGGTGTTCTATTCTTTTTGTTTTTTTTTTGTTTTTGAAGTATTACTGAAGACATAGTTTTGAAGGTGTTTCTTTCAGACACTGACCTAATCTAGCTGGATTTTTTCAAATGAAGTTTTGTAGTTTCTCTGAAAAATGTTTTTCTTCTTTTCTCTATGCTTGTTGTTTTGTCTTTGTTCTTCTGGAGTTTTAGAAGGAAATTTGATTTCTTTTTCTCCTGATCAGTCAATTCGCGGAAACTTGTTTCACTTGTTTTCACTACCAAAGTGCCTGTAAATTGGTTAAAAAAAACAGCAATGATTTTTCGAGAATTTCTCAAAATTTCTGGAGCGAGATTGTGTATTTTGACGTGACTGTGTACATTTTATCATACTTGCGATGGGGCCTTTGCCGGGCCCTTCGCGGGCCTTGGCATAGTTTTTTTCAGAAACAATATTTTTTGACCAACTACATTAGATATGATAAGACTCAGCGAGTTTTGCAAAATGATACTTTTCAATAAATTGTGTCTTGTCTATGAACAAAGTTACAAGTCATAAAATATCCGAGCCGAGCTTCTGTTTTTGTCTGTAACTTTGTTCATAGACAAGACACAGTTTTCCGAAAGGTATCATTTTGTAGCACTTGTCGAGGTCTGTCAAACTTTAGGCACGTTAATTTGTTTATTGATCTGGTGTAATAAAACATTAGAGGGCAGGACATGAAAGACTCAGAAAAAATGCCCCTCACGAGGCCGATCTGAGTAGGGGAGGGGAAACGGGATAATTTAGAATTTTAAATATGAAAGATGTAACCGGTAGAAAAAGAAAAATAGGGAGCAAATATATCAATAACGGGTAATACTGGAAGAAATTAAGGATTCAAACTCGGAAGGTAGGAGAAATCGGGTAACTTGAGAAGTGATGGCGTTCCACAGGGGAACAATTGAAGAAAAATAGTCAGAGGAGTAGGGCTGAACAATAATTAAGTTCATAGGGCGACGAGGGGAGGAGGAGTATTTGACATGTGCATTTAGGTTAGGAAAGTAGGCGGAGCCATTTAAAAATTTATAGAGAAGAATTAGTTGAGCTTTTAGCCTACGATGTCG